TTAGCGACTGAACAACAACTAATGCCATGTAAATCTGTTCACTTGATGATATCCAAAGCCATATAAAGTTGAGATGCTCTTTTAAGTAAAGGTGTGTCATGGTTAATCATATGGCACTCAGAGGAATTCCTTACAAACCTAGATAGGATTGTGAGCTGAAACTGTCTAGCTTAGTCTTAAGGTGCTAAATGATACAATTTGTAAGGATAATCAAATACTAAAGAAACTAAAAATGTCAAAACAACAAAAATGATCACTTGTACAAATTCCATCATTTATTGGAGCACACCACAAAAAGGGTGTGGGACTAATCTTTTCTGATTCTTCAAAACTTTCCTTCATGATTAGGCAAAATTACTAAATTACTAAAACTTTGAAGGGATTGTCTTAATGTCACCTCATCCAGGAAGTCTCCCAAGACTTATGTGCCCCTCCAATGTGCTCCCTTGGAATCTCGCATACCCCATTTATAACATGTCCTACCCTGAACTATCTTGTCTTTTTATTGGTTGACCTACATAGGTATCTAATAAATACATGTGAAACGAATGACATTTATACTCATCTTTGTATCTCCCCACAGTTTTTACACAGGGCTTTGAACACTGCAGGGACTAGATAAAAGTTTACTGAATGAATAAATGAGTGGACAGATGCACTTCTGCATATGATCAGTTGTAACAAATAGAAGTCTTAAACTGAACCAGTCATTTAGATGAAAAGAGTAATATGGCAAGGCATCTCAGGGACCCTACATTGTAACTCTCCCTCTCAGGCTTTGCCCTGGGTTGGCCGTGGGCCAGCCCCAGCCCTGCAGCCTACTCACTCTATACTACAAAAAAGAAATGATGAGGGAGAAACTGTCTAGCAAAACACCAACTGAAAGATGAATTACAATTATGCCTTAATTCAAAGCCTGAGTTTTTCCTGGTTTCTCTTTTAGGTTGATGGAAAGGAAAAAGTTAGAGCACAGTATAAGCTTTGGCCACTTACAGCTTAAAAAATCTCCCACGGGATGTAGTTTGCTATTCCCTAAAATTCAAGTTCAACTAGAACTTGAATAAAATAAACCAATTTTAATTAATAATAATAAAGTTCTTTTAATAAATTAAATAATAAGTTAAATAAGGATGAGTTAACGCCTGGTCACTAGCTGCTTCTACAAAGAAGCTTACACTGAGGTGGCTTAATCCTGTGTGTTCCCATGAATGAACCAGAGGAGAGTATCACATGCAGGCATTACCTATCACTGGGATTTAACACATAGATGATGCACTGAGTAACAAGAACCAGTCACCATCACAGAAACTCTACCTTTTCCTGAAGCAAGCAAGTGACTGCTGTGGTCACAGTAAGTGCTTGCTGTAATCCCCGTGCAGGCAAGCTCTCTGTATCTGATGCCACGAGAGAAACCCATCACTCTCCACCTCTCTCCTCAATTTTAAGGTGTTCTTCCTTTCCTCCTCATCTGCTTTCCTGGCCCATTACTCTTCCCTCACCTAATCTTTCTTTTTTTCATGCTCTCTCATCTTCATGTACCTAAGAGCCAACAACACTCCTCATACTGCAGCACTGCTGAAACGAATTTTCCAGATCAATGAAGTTTATTCCTTTAAAAGCTAAAATACATTTTTAAATTACTTAACCATTCTGGCTAAGAGTTCTGGAAATGGGCCATTTGGTCTCTTTACTTCTTAACAGAGTGTACACCATAGAAACTCAAACTTTCTTGACCATGCAGGTTCATCAATCTAAGCATTCCCTCAGGCACATCCCCTCAGGAGAGCTCACAATGGAGCTCTCCCCGACACACACAGCCCCATAACACTTAATGTTACTGCTTCATTTCTACCTCATTTTGATAGTTTTAGATCTCTTTGTACTGTCAGGAAGAATTTTACTTTTCATCGTTCTATCTCACTTTTTCTTTCCCCTCTCACTCCCTAATCTGTGGCAGCATAGGTAACCAGACAGGCAAACTTACAGGAATAATGTGTCAGATAAGGTTTTACAGATATATGGTCATTGGGCATTGAGTAAGGGCCTAGGGCTCATCCTGTGAGTAAAGTTCATTGGATTTCTGACAGTGATTTCAAGAGTTCAGAGACCCTTTTTACTTAATTCTGGACTTGGGACCATAGGAGTGATAATAAGACGGGAGTTTGTTCTTTGGATGGGTGGATATCACTGTCCTTTACATTTAGGTAGAAACGTCGTACCCAGAACAGTTTCTGTTCATGGTTTTAGGCCCCACTCTACTTGTGTGATCTACCACCATTCCTCACTTAAACTTTGGATAAAAAGTAAGACAGAAAAGGCAAATTGCTGACTGTCACAAGTTACAGATCATCATACAGCATAGCTTCCTGAGATGTGTCTGTGTCCTGCCCATTCCTTCCTTGGCCTCTAACTTAGCACACTCCTTACCCACAAGCTAAGTGTCTCACCATCTTCGCAAGGCCACCAGGTCACTCTCCCTTCTCAGACACCATTAATTGCATCATCTTTTCAGTTCCTTAAGATGGAAGCCTACTGTCATCAATAGCTCTTCCCTTAGTTGTCTTTTTTAAACCAGGCAATTTCAAGCTTCTGGTGCATGCAGTTTATTCCATGTCCAAGATACATTTCATCTGCTCCTCATTCAAATCTGTTAAAATTCTAACTCATGGCTCTACTTTCCAAATATCTTCTTTCCAAACATCCCTCTCACCTCCCTCTACTCAAATCTATCCCAAATAACAGAGCTTTACTCTTTCATCACTGGGCTCTCAATCTCTACTTCCTGAACACCATCATTGGTAAACTCTCGAAATATTTCTTGTTTTCATGTGAATGCTATAATTTCACCTTAAGTCCTTTTTATAGTACTTCTTACCACCCACCTCCTCCTGTTCAGTCTTTACATTAGCACTTTCCAGTTTTATATATTCCATTTAGTTTTGCCAATGGAATTAAAGAAACATTCTCTTCTCGTGTCTGTCTACTCCAAAGTCCCTTCCCTGATCACACCTTAGTATCTTCAACTACCTCTTGGGAAATTTTCTTTTCTAATTGCCTAGGAAGTCACTTTTCCCATTTAATTTACTCAACTGTTTTCCCTTTTCTGTATTTCCCCAAACCTCCAGAGAAATATAATTATCAGATTTTCTGCTGTGGTTATCACCCACATGCCTCCAGCCCTCCTCCGTCCTCAGATTGTAATTGTCAAAAATAACAAGACTGCACTTCTGACATCTATATGGTGCTATACATAGATTTAAACAAATCCCATTCCTCAAACTGTGTAAATGAACTCCCTTCTGCCTTCAACTCATTCAGCAAGACATCCCTCTGGAAATCTGGGCCTCCCTTAGGAATGGTGCTGGACCCCTGACTCCTGGCAGGCCTCTGGAAGGAAAGGAACCATTCCTCCCCAGGATGGAGACCTCGGGGTCAGGAGGTGGAGAGGGTTCACCTGCTCCATAGGGCCACCAACAGACCAACACTTTGCCAGCCTTGGATAAAAGCCTCTCGTCCTTCTAAGCCCATAAGCTCTGACTAAACTTCCTCCCCTGATCTTTATCTCTCTGGCCTGTGGCCAACTCACTCACCACATCTGCTCTTCACGTGCTTGATCTCCTAATCTCCAATATTCTCTTTCATTCACTTCAACCACTGATATTCTGGATTCCACCTTGGACCCACTTATCTCCTAGGACTACATCCCTTGCAACTTCTCAACCATCCTACTTCCTGGGTCTTCAACCCAGTAAGCCTGCTCCCTGACAAATATATATATACACACATGGGCTTCCCAGGTGGCACAGTGGCAAAGAATAAATCTGCTTGCCAATGCAGGAGATGCAAGAGACTCAGGTTCAATCCCTAGGTCAGGAAGATCCCCTGGAGTAGGAAATGGCAACCCACTCCAGTATTCTTGCCTGGAAAATTCCTTGGACAGAGGAGCCTGGCTAGCTACAGTTCATGGGGTCGCAAAGAGTCAGACATGACTGAGCGACTGAACACACACACACATATACACACACATGTATATATGTAAACATATATATATGAGTCACTTTCCTGTACACCTGAAATGAAAATAATATTATAAACCAACTGTATTTCAATAATATTAAAAAACAACAAAAGAATATTGCAGCCAAAAAAGGAATTAAGGGTCATGGAGGTTATGTGGCTTTATTCAAGCTCTCACAGTCCCCAAAGAGTAAAATTGATTTCCCATCATAATAATCAGAATATATTTTCTTTCAGGCCATTTGAAATACCTATGCTGTGGCCAATTATTCGACATGCTATCTTGTGGGGAAGACATTCTGACCAAAAAGAAAGACGAAGGGGATACCACTCTAAAGGTAGACGTTACCTCAGGATCAATTTTCTGCATCTAATCATCCCATAAGCAAATATTTAGGTTGCAACCGCTGGCTCAGAGAGAGAAACAAATCTGGTCAGAGATGCGCAGAAACTCCACACCAGCCAAGCTGCTTTGTGCCCTCTGTGCAGGCTTCCTCAAACACTCAAACAGAAAGGAGTCGCAGCACTGCAGGAGCAGCTGAGCCCAGCAATGGTGAATCAGGGTGGAGAAGAGAGCAGTCTGGAACTTTCTATGGGGGACCCCTTTCATGCACAATTAGCTCGCACTGGAGCAGAAGACTGCTGTGGCCTGCTCACTTCTGAACAAAGTAACAATAAAATAAAAAACTGCTCCCCTCTCCATCCTGTGTCGTCTACACATTTACAAAGTAATAAAGAACATAAATACCATCAGGCCCAAATCCTAATGGATCTACAGATAATAATAATATTAAACAGACACTCAAATCTTTAATTCTTTTTGTGAGGAAGAAAACAACAAAACTTTCAACTTCTTGAATAAAAACTGTCCTATTACATCTGTATTTGTACATATCCCTAATAAAACTAATACTGTTATCTGCTGTAGTCCTGCCTTCCCCCAACAAAAATGTAAATAAATATTTAGCAAAACAATAATTTACCTTATAGAAGATCAAAAAAAGGTCATCTAGCTTCCCATGCAAATCACCTGGAAATGAAACGAAAAATTCAGTATTCAGGAGGAAACAAGAAAATGCCCTTTGTACAAAAGAATTTAAAACCTGAAATACTGCTGATACATGCCAAGCATTAGGACATTGGGTTCTTACCCTATGATGATATTAATTCAACAGACAGTTTGCTTCCATAACACCTTGTGGAAACTTCATCCCTTTTCTTATAGGGGGCAGCATCCAATGTCGCGATTTCCTATTCATTCCTGCCATTTATGCTGTGCTTTCAGGACTTCCCTGGTGGCTCAGACGGTAAAGCGTCTGCCTGCAATGTGGGAGACCTAGGTTCGATCCCTGGGTCAGGAAGATCCTCTGGAGAAGGAAATGGCAACCCACTCCAGTACTCTTGCCTGGAAAATCCCATGGACGGAGGAGCCTGGTAGGCTACACTCCATGGGGTCGCAAAGAGTCAGACACGACTGAGCAACTTCACTTCACTTAGCTCCCTCTATGCCAAGTGCCGGACTAAGGGTTTACATGAGCTATCTCGCTCAATCCTAAAACCACTAGCCAAGTATGGATGTGAGAACTGGACTACAAAGAAAGCTGAGTGCCAAAGAATTGATGCTTTTGAACTGTGGTGTTGGAAAAGACTCTTGAGAGTCCCGTGGACTGCAAGGAGATCCAACCAGTCAATCCTAAAAGAAATCAGCCCTGAATATTCATTGGAAGGACTGATGCTGAAGCTGAAACTCCAATACTTTGGCCACCTGATGCAAAGAACCAACTCATTGGAAAAGACCCTGATGCTGGAAAAGATTGAAGGTGGGAGGAGAAGGGAATGACAGAGGATGAGATGGTTGGATGGCATCACCGACTTGATGGACATGAGTTTGAGTAAGTTCTGGGAGATGGTGAAGGACAGGAAAGCCTGGCGTGCTGCAGTCCATAAGGTGGCAAAGAGTCAGACACAACTGAGCGACTGAACTGAACACCACTCTATGAGATGGGTACTGTTTTCACCATATTCATTTTACATATGAGGCTCAGAGTAGTTAAGCAACTTACAAAGCTGACAAACTACCAAGTAGCAGAGCTGGAATTCAAACTCAACTTTATCTCACTTCAAAACTATACTGTACTCTACTGCTTACACTAGAAAATCTCTAAGAGAACAGCAATATTACTTATTGTTAAACCCCTAAATGCCTCCTATAGTACCTGCTGCATAGTAGGCATTCAATAATTAAGTTCAATTGCTAAATGCACAGCTTTTTAAAGCCATGTTTTCAAGAATATGCAGTAGAATCTGAAACTTAAAAATTGTGAGTAGATATCTGACATTCTCTTAATGAGACTATTAGCAAAAATAAAAATGAAAGCATTGCTTTATAAAACTCAAGAAATCATGTAAATATGTGAAGCCATTAATTCAAAAACAAGAATAAATATGTGAATATTCAAAAGCCCTATTTGGATAACTATTTCTAGGTAAATATTTGTCTTTCATAAGCTCTGTCATAAATGTTTATTCCTTATATCCAACTTTATTACCAAATGTAATTTAATTTAGGAATACTTTGCCCCAGTTTGTTTTAAAATGCTACAAACAAAATTAACCAAACATATACAAGAGATGAGTCCAATTATTACGGGAGTAACAAAATTAAAATACAACATCACCAGCACTTATTTATAAAATGACTACAATATTAATATTAAGCAAGGAGATCAAACCAGTCAATCTTAAAGGAAATCAATCCTGAATATTCATTGGAAGGACTGATACTAAAGCTGAAGCTCCAATACTTTGGCCACCTGATGCAAAGAGCTGACTCAATGGAAAAAACTCTGATGCTGGGAAAGGTTGAGAGTGGGAGGAGAAGGGGACGACAGAGGATGAGATGGTTGGATGGCATCACTGACTTAATGGACATGAGTTTGAGTAAGCTCCGGGAGTTGGTGATGGACAGGGAGGCCTGGCATGCTGCAGTCCACGGGGTCGCAGAGCTGGACATGACTGAGCAACTGAACTGAACTCATTTACATATTGTCCAGGGCTGCTTTTGAGCTACTAGGGAAGAGCCGAGTAGTTGGACACAGAGACCATATGGTTTACAAAGCCAGAATGTTTATCATCCTGTTCCTTAAAGAAAAGCTTGTCAAGCCCTCATCTAGAACAACATCCCTCATGCTTAAAGTCACCCGCGTTAAAGATCTTGGCTAAAACGTACTCATATGGCCAAAAATAAGCACTTCATATGGGCTACTGTAGAAGAAAGTTCTGGAGAGCTGCTTTTGACACCTTGATACTGTTTCTTTCTGGGTAACCTAGAAAAGGACCCACCACTTTGAGCTTCAGTCTTCTCATCAGCAAAGTGAGGGTAATACAAACTTCTCCACACACCTCAGGGGAACATGGGGAGATGATGGATGCCAAGGTGCTCCACAGACCATGAAGAGCTACAGGAACGTCCAGAGGGGTTGCTGCTGTTGTTCTTAATGTTCAGTACTATGTGCTCTTGCCACTGGATCCTACAGAGACCCTGGAACTCTTCCATGGTCAGCAGGGCAAGGATAGCACTGGTCACTGGGAGATTTACCAGTCAGCAAAAGCCATTTCTGGAACTTTCAGCAATATGGAAATCAAGAGATTCACTGGCTTCATTGTAACTTTAAGAGCTTTCAAAATTGTGTCAAATAGGAAAATGTAGTTTGGAAAAAATGGGACTTTTAAATTGTTTCCAATTTCATATTAGGAGCTTCGAATAGGAGAGCAGCCTTAAAATGGGATTGCAGAGATGAGTGGTTCTTAGTTCAAGGCAGATCCCAAGGATCCCCAGTATCCCAGGACTCTGGGAGATAGTGAGGGACAGGGAAGCCTGACGTGCTGCAGTCCATGAGGTCACAAAGAGTCAGACACAACTTAGCTACAGTCCATGGGGTCACAAAGAGTCGGATACGACTTAGCGACTGAACAACAACAAGAATATTAAGAGCATATTAATACTACTGCATATTTAAATCCCACTCCAAATCTAAGGAAATAAAAATGGAAGGACTTTACTTGTTAGTTAAATATATGTATTTTTAATTATTTTGTTTTCTTAATTCTCTTCAGGATGACTTGTCTTTCAAAGATTTGGGTAGTCAGAGTGTTGTAGCTAGCAAGCTAATAAATGAATTGGTTTCAGCATATTAAGAGTTGAGGTTATAAAGATATAACCAACTTCTAGTTGGACAGCAAAAGATAACACTCAATGTATCATGTAAAAGCCACAAAAAGATATTTTCACTGCATATAAAAATATAACTACATACATGGTTAACTTTTATAATATAAATGTAGACTAAAACACCTATATTTCATGCACGTTGAGAATCATGCAACATGTTTAGATGTGCGTGTAAAAAACTGCATCTGGAAATTAAAATAATGGTAAAGGTTCATCATAATTTCTCGCCCTTTCCTAATACTGTCTTAAACAGAGGATGGTTTTGAAAATATGGCCCCAATTTTAAATGATGGCCAAATTTTTCTAGGTTCAATGGGGCTATTAAAGAGAGTTTAAGGAAAATTCCTATGCTATGGGAATGTATGGGCCTGGCTTTTCCTTCTACCAATGGTGCTATGTGGAAAAAGTCTGGAAATATTAATAAATGCCCAAGATGTATTTTTTAAAAAATGAAACTGTCCCATAATCCATTCCCTAATCTCTGTCTTGTGATAGAAAATGAAACACCAGTCAGAGCGGTGCATAATGGGACTGGGATAGAAGATGTGGGACTGCCTCTAACCTGGGATGCAAAAGATCTGATTTTTAATTCTGACTTTGCCACTAACCAGCTGAGTGAGCTGGGGTGGAGAGAAGGGGACAAGTTATTACATAGAAATGCATGGAAGGAAATACCATTTCTGGGCCTCAATTTTATCCATAAGAACAAGGGATAGACCAGCTGACCTCTGTAAGAATCAGTCAGTCCATACACTGTGTGATTCCAGAACTTACATGCCCTCTAATTAATTCATGTCTTCTTCCAAATCCTTTCATGCAAAGACAAGTCTCCAATGGCAACTGGAGGTGTACTAGAAACATACAGGAGCAGATCACAGTCTCTGTTTGGCTTATTATATTACACTCTGAGAGCAAATCTTGCCCTGGCTCCACAGGCTTCATTGGTTGGCCTGGCTTCCTGAGCCTCATAACTCCAAATTCTTTATCTCCATGGAAAGTAAGAGCCAATGAGGTCTTGAATAAAAGGTCCCCACTGCTGAGATGCATCATCTGGTAGGCAAAGATGTGGTAGCCTGATTAGGTTGAAACTGAGCCATTAAGGACTCTTCAAAAGCCTGAGTCCAGGCATGACATGGAGCGCATACTGTTACATCAAGTCTCTGTCACCACTATCAGATGCTAGAAATGGAAATGGTTTAATTAGATTGCCAAATCCATTCTACCTGCCAGAGTAAAAGAAACATGGGCTAAAAATTGATTTGGAAAATAACAATCACTGTGTTGTAACCTAAAGGCTTAATTAGAAGTTAAGAGAATTGCTGTTCCTTCCACACACTCCATTCTCAGGCAGTTGGAAGCATGCTGAGCACCAACTGTGTTGAATTTCAATGTGTACTGCTTCCTAAAGCAATATCCTGCCAGGCTGGCCTATATGATAACAAAATCTCAGCTCTTGTTATTTAGAAGAACAAGGAACAGATTCCTGGGACATTTCCACTCTTCTAAAAGCTGCAGAGACCAGCTGAAAAATCTCAAACAGCAGCCGAGGGAAGAGAAGAGGTTAATCTCCACCCTGCCGTGGGCTTTTCTCTTCCCAGGAGAAGTGGCATGCAGAGGCCCATCTAGAAAAAGCAACATGGAACAAAGATAATAAGAGCTAGATGGAGAGCAAAGAATGCTTATTCCACCCATGGGTAGCTTTCTGTATTAAAACGCTGCCTGCCTTTATAAAAAGCTAAGAGTTCTTTAATTTCTCACATAATTAATTCCTGCCAGCTGGTATGCAAAACAAAGACAAGATGGGGAACAGTATTATCATGATAGATAACTCTATATTAACACTTTTCCCTTAATACAGTCCAATTTACACAGTTTTCAAGTTAGGCCAATGATGTAGAACCAAGAGGCTCCTAAATATTAATTTGGCAACTCGGCTCTGAAACTTACCACAGATTGTTATCTCTTTGGATGGAGATGTCCTTGTATGAGTGAAATTCGGCATTTGCTGCAGGACTCTCTTGGTTTCAAACAGCACTTCTAAGACATAATAAGCATGAAGTATCTGTGAGGGTGAAGAGGAAATAGATATAATGAACTAGGAAGAAAGGCATGAGTACATAGAAAGCAATGTATTATCCTGGCACAGTATCTGGCACATAGTAAGTCCTCACTAGAGATTTGTAAGTTGAATGAACAAATGGTTCCTAGCATGTCTATAGTCTCATGTTCTTAACTGACATCACCCATTCACAAAACATTTCTGATAAATCTTGGTCCTTAGAACCCAAGAGAAGTAACAGGGAAAAAAGGAGACCCCCCTGGCCTAAGAAATGTGTAGGCAAAAACATAAATAAAAAAGAAAAGAAAAGGATGGAAAAGAGAGAAGGAGAAAGAAAGAAAGGGAGAGAAAGATTGTTCTAAAGGAGCTTCTTTGCATTTCTGTGCGACCTCCTGCCCCAGGGCTGGGAGCTAGGTGGGGGTGCTGGGTTAGGAGATCTCACAAGGCAACCAGACAAGCCTCAAGGGACTCCTGAGCCAGGTGTCCCTGCTGTGGCTCAAGAATTTGGTACACAGATGTGAGGGTACAGGCCAGCAAGCACATTTATATACAAGTCTGAGTATAAAACATACTGCAACGTCAAGTAAACAATTCCAATTATCTCCTGTAATGACTATTCATTCCTTGGTCTCCTCCAGTTACAGTGTTAATGACAGCATTGTTTTAGACAGATTTACGGGGTTTTCTCCTCCAGGCTTTTTGTTTTTTTTGTTTTATCATTCTCTTTTTTAATTATAAAATATTCCAAATACATAATCCAAAAAATGATGTAGCTGATACAAACTTAACAGATGCTAACATCAGAAATGTTTGTACCTGTATTGTCCAATGCAGTAGAAACTGGTCATATGGGGCTACTGACCACTTGAAATGGGGCTAGTCAAAACTGAGACATAACATAAGCACAAAATACACACTGGATTTTAAAGATTTAGTATGAAAAAAAAGTAAAATGTCTCATTAAAAACTTTTAATATGATTACATATTAAAATGATAATTTTACATGTTTGAATAAATAAAACAAATTATTAAAATTAATTTCACTTTTTTCTTTTCGCTTTTATAATATTGACTGCTGGTGGTTTAGTTGCTAAGTCGTGTCTGACTTGCAACCCCATGGACTGTAGCCCGCCAGGCTCCTCTGTCCATGGGATTCTCCAGGCAAGAATACTGGAGTGGGTTGCCATTTCCTTCTCCAGGGGATCTTCCCGACCCAGGAATTGAACCTGGGTCTCCTGCATTGCAGTCAGATTCTTTACCTACTGAGCTATGAGGGAAGCCTAATATTGACTACTAGAAGATTTTAAATATGTATGTGGATCACATTATATTTCTATTGGACAGCACTGACTAGTTTAGATTATTGGAGGCTAACAGAGATTGTTATCTACATACTGTTCAGATGATTCTTTAGGTGAGCTTCCTAGATGGCTCAGTGGTAAAGAATCCGCCTGCTAAGCAGGAGATGCGGGGTGTGATTCCTGGGTTAGAAAGATCCCCTGGAGGAGGGCATGGCAACCCACTCCAGTATTCTTGCCTGGAGAATCCCATGGACAGAGGAGTCTGGCAGGCTACAGTCTACAGGGTCACAAAGAGCTGGACACAACTTAGGGACTAAATAACAACAACAATGCTTTCAGTATCGGATTTAGGGCAGATGGAACCCTTTGGAACAATCCTATCTCATGGTGTCCTGAAGTTTCCATTTCCAATTAAAATAATGAAATTATTTTCTAATCAAAAATACTAAGTTTGGAGAATTTTCATGATTAAGTAATTTAAAACAACAACAACAACAACAGGAAGCAGGATTTGAAGCAACATGAGAATTAGGAAGAAAGAAAAGGGCCCCTGGATGTTGATTAGTAGGGAGTAAGCCCTATTTCCTGTCTCCCCAAACCTAATGGATTGATAAGGATTTCCCCCACAAAATCATTTTAAACCTATTCAATGCATTTTAAATCTATTCAACTTGACAGGGTGAGTCAAATCTTGAATGTAACCTTTTCTTTAGCCACATTTTAAAGGAACAGGCAAAACACTTTGATAAAATGGTTTATTAATATATGAATTGGCTTTTATTTAATTTACTGATTCCCAAAACTGGCTTCAGTGTTACCTTAGCTTGCCACTGTAGACTTTTTGGACCATTTGTAGCATTAATCAGAGTAAGTGCTGCCTGAAAAGGCAGTTGTTGTTTTTAAGTTAAATTAACAAATATTCGTTGAGGATATATTGCAACAACAGAAAATTCCTATTATGATAATAGTTTTTCTGGGTCCTTTTCAATTGTCTAAAATCACTTTGGTTATGTTAGTCCCCACAGAGCCAGTGTACTTCTCTTTCAATAGCATTATAATTGTGTTTACAATTGCAATATTAAATACTACTCAAAAGAGTTAACTCATGTTGGTTTATATGCTTATAAATATATTCAGATTAAATGACAACTCAAATAAAATATTCACATTCTTTTAAAAGCATTTAGAGAGGAAAATAGTACTTTTAAAGAATTTTATTTTTTAAAAAGTAACTAGGGAATTCCCTGGTTTCCCAGTGCTTAGGACTCCATGCTTTCACTGCTGAGGGTGTGGGTTCAAGCTCTCGTTAGGGAACTAAGATCTCGCAAGCTGGGCAGCTTGGCCAAAAAAAAAAGCAACTAGTTTTTAAACGGAAAAAGAAAAGTTCTTTGTAAAGTTGAAATACAAATTTAAACAGCAAAAAGAAGCATAACAATGGAAAGTAATTCTCCTCCTTTGCCAAACATCAGTCCCATTTCCCTATCCCAAGAAACAGCCACTGTTTTGAGTATCTTTCCAAAAAATATTCTATGTACTTGCAAGCCTATAAAAATCAATATAACTACATATGAATATGCAAACATATGTATAAGCACATAATTCCTTAAATAACATGTGGTATATTCACACAAAGGATTATTATTCAACCAAAAATAGGAATGAGGTACTGATACACGCTACAGTATGAATGAACCTTGAAAACATTATGCCAAGAAGAAGCCACCAGGCACAAAAGGCTACATATAATATGATTCCGTTTATATAAATGTCCAGATTAGGCAAATCTGTAGAGACAGAAAGTAAACTGGTAGTTGACAGGGGCTAGGGAGAAGGGAGAATGGGAAGTGACTGCTTAATGGGTACTAGGCTTTGTTTTGAGGATGATAAAAATGTTCTGGAATTAGACAATGGTGATGGTTGTACAATACTGGGAATATACTAAAAACCAATGAATCATACACTTCATTTAAATTGGTTTAAAAAATCGATTTCATGTTATGTGACTTTTATCTTAATTTTAAAAATTAAGATGATTATATATATATATAATGCTTATTAACTTTGTTTTACAAATGGGAACACACTGTACACTATGTTGAATCTTTTGTCTTCCCTTAACAACACAATCTTTTCATTTTTATAAAATCAAAACTGTCTATCTTTTCAGAGCTCCTTGGATTTTTGTCTTATCTTTTATATCCTTGAGCATATTAAGCATACTTAAAGTCTGATCTGATAATGCCATTATCTAAAAACTCTATAGGTTTGTTTGCACTGTTTGTGGTTCGCCTAAGTTTTCTTTTGTGAATCTTGCATCTTCCTATGCCTGGTTAACACTTGTATTAAGTTCTGGATATTGTATATGAAAACTTGAAGAAATAACTTGAAGCCTATTTTCTTACAGAGAGGATTTATATTTTCTTTTGGCAGGTGGCTAGGAGTATCAGCTGTCCAGGATGATCTCAATTTTAGGAATTAGGTGATTGAAAATTTTGCTTCAAAACCCTACAGAGCCAGTACTTTTATTCACTCTTACTCTAGGGTATGCCCTTAAGGTCAAAGTGATGGTTTTGGGGTGATGTCAGAAAATAATGGAGCAGGTAGTTCCAAGATTCCATCCCCCTGCAGAAACACTGAAAAATCAAGCCAAAAAAATAGATCAAACAAACCAGTCAGATCCAACTTCATCAGAGCTCTGGAAAATAGTCAAAGCTCACAGCAACCAAGGAAATGCTGAATCAAGAAAGAGGCAACTTAAATGTGGCTCAGTGGATCACCTGGTGGCTCAGACGGTAAAGAATCTGCCTGCAATGCAGGAGTCCCAGGTTCAACCCCTGGGTCAGGAAGATCCTCTGAAGAAGAGAATGGCTGCCTACCCACTCCAGTATTCTTGCCTGGAGAATTCCATGGACAGAGGTACAGTCCATCGGGTTGCAAAGAGACACAACTGAGCAACTAACACACTAAGCAGAAAGTAAAGGCTATGATAGATTTGTAAACAGTCAGGCTAAGTGGTAAAGGAGTGTACCAACACAGAGCCAGTCTGCAGAGATTAGATTTTTCTTCCTTCCCTTCTTTCTTTTCCCCTTTCCTCCTTCCTTCCTTCCTCTGGCCTGTATCTCTCTCTCTCTTTCTTAATGGCTCTTGGTGTTCAAGGAAATCCTTATCAAAACACTAAGTGAACACAGGCTAAAAGAAAAGAAATTTCAGGGGATTTCCCTGGTGGTCCAGTGGTTAAGACTCCACACTTCCACTTCAGCGGCACAGGTTCAATCACTGGACAGGGAACTAAGATCCTACAATGCTGCATGGTATGGTCAAAAAAATAAAAATTTTAATAAAAGTAATAATAAATAAAACTAAAAAAGAAAAGAAATTTCAGATACCTTTCACACAACTATACCTAAGAGACATCTACAGAATACTCCACCCAACAACAGCAGACTACACATCTTTACAAGGGCACATGGAACATTCTCCAGGAAAGACCAGATGTTAGGCCACAAAATAAGCCTCAGTACATTCTAAAAAACTGAAATCACACAAAGTATCTTCTCTGACCACAATGGAATGAAACTAGAAATCAGGAACAGAAGGAAAACTGGAAAATTCACAAATATGTGGAAATTAAACAACGTACTTTTAAACAACTGATGGGTCAAAGAAGAAATCACAAGGGAAATGAGAAAATACTTTGAGATCAACAAAAATGAAAACATAACATACCAAAACTTATGGGATACAGTGAAAACAATGCTTAGCAAGAAATGTATGGCTGTAAATGCCTACAAAAACAAAGAAAAATGTCAAATGAAAGCCTAACAATGCTTAAGGAGCTAGAAAAAGAAGAGCAAATTAAACTGAAAGCCAGCAGAAGAACTAGAGTGCAGATAATTAAATAGAGAACCAAAAAAATAAAAGAGACAATCAACAAAACCAAAAGTTGGTTCTTTGAAAAGAGCTACAAAGTTGAGAAAATTTTACCTAGACTGGCCAAGAAAAAACAGAGAAAAAGCAAATAACTATAATCAGAAATGAAAATGGGGACGTTACCACTGACCTAAAAGAAATAAAAAGAATTAGAAGAGAATATTATGAACAATTGCATACTAACAAATTAGATAACTTAAAAAGATGAAAGGGACAAATTCCTTGGAAACACACAAATTATCAAGACTTACTCAAGAAGAAATATAACACCTGAACACATCTAGAACAAGCAGAGATTGAATCAGTAATTACAAAGTGCAAGACCCAAGAGCTTCACTGGTCAACTCTACAAAACATTTAAAGAAGTAACACCAATCCTTCTCAAACTCTTCTAAAATACAGAAGAGTAGGAAGCAATTCCTGACTCACTCCATGAGGTCAGTATTATCTTGATATCAAAGCCAGATAAAGACACCACAGGAAAAGAAAATACAAACTAATATCCCTTACGAATAAAATGTAAAAATCCTCAACAAAACACTAGCAAACCAAATCCAACAGAATTTTTAAAGAACTACATACGATGACCAAGTGGGGTTTATTCCAGGAATATAAGGGTGGTTCAACATAAGAAAACTAATCAGTGTAATACACAGCATTACTAGAATGAAGGGGAGAAAAACACAATCATCTCCACTGATGCAGAAAAAGCATTTGACAAATTCCAACACCTTTTCATGATAAAGCCACTCAGAAGACTAGGAATAGAAGGAAACTTCCTCAACTTGATAAGCAGCATTTATTAAAACAAACAAACAAACATACAGAATATTAGCCAGCCATTAAAATAAAGGAGTCCTGAAACATACCTTGCCATGAATGAACCTTAAAAACATTATGCTAAGGGAAAGCAGCCACATACAAAAGGAAACAATATATAATTCCATCTGTACGAAACATTCAGAATAGAAAAACCCATAGAGACAGAAAGTAGAACAGTGACTGCCTGGAGTAGAGGAGGAGGGAATGGTAATGGGTGTGGCACTTTTTTGGGAGGCGAAGAAAATGTTCTGGAATTGGATATTAGTGATTGTTGCACAATCTTGTGAGTGTACTAAAAAGCACTGAATCCTACACTTTAAAATGGTGAATTTTATAGCATGTGAATTACAACTCAGAAAAAGAACAAGGAAATACTGAGAGCCTATAGCCAGAAAGGAGGTTTTGGTGCACCTTAAGAAACTTCTATTTAATGGGTTAAACAAAGCAGAGGGTAGCGCTCACTTAAGGTGAAGTTTTTTTCCCCAAGGGAATGCATTTCTGCTGTAGTGTTTTCATCCATTCAATAGATAGCTATTGAACACATGTTTTGTACAAGAATTAGGACAGTATGTGTGCTTCCACTTGCCTGTTGTTGCTTGAAGGCCTCAATAAGTAAATCAATGTCAGTAAAAGTGAGAGGAAATTGCAGCCGAGGACCACAGTAGGAGTCTGGGACTTCTAGCAACCCCAAATAGTCTTGTCTGTCCTTGTCCTGGATGCTGCTTCCAAAAAGGCGAGTTATTAATCCTGGAAATGGAAAGACAGAAAAGGGGGAAAAAAATCAACATTCCCATACTTAAAATACAATTGATACCTTCTTGAATATCTAGCCCATGTAAAGCACTGTGTTAAATGTTACAAATACCAAGATACCCCACATCTAACCATGAGGAATGACTTGTTCTGAGATCAGTAGTATATTCACATGAATCATCATTATTCCTTCCTGGGTGGACATTTTACCAAAGCAGTGAGTTCATTAGTGGGGAGAGGGTGGCACACAGAGAAAACGGATCAATCAAGGTATTCTGATGCTCCAAAGGTCTTTCCAAGTGGCTCAGTGGTAAAGAACCTGTCTTCCAATGCAGAGGACTCAGGTTCTATCCCTGGTCTGGGTACATCCCCTGGAGAAGGAAATGGCAAGCAACCCACTCCAATATTCCTGCCTACGAAATCTCATGGACAGAGGAGTCTGCCGGGCTGAAGACAATGGATCGCAAAGAGTTGGACACGAGTGAGTGAGTGAGTGAGCACAGCACAGCTCTAGTTCTACCTTTATTGTGTGTGTGTGCACGCTAATATCTTAGAGTTTTACAAATAAGGCTGAAGATGCACTGTATTTTATTCAAACATTTGTAACTCTTCAGGATCCACAGAAAATTAAATGGTAACATTCAACGTTTTCCTGTTAAATGCTTCAAATTTTACTTAGCTGTAACTGATTTGTTTCTCTCATCACATAAAAACCAATTTTCTGACATGATTTTTCTTTCTTCTTGGTAACAAAGGAGATAAAGTTAGATGACCAACCACAGGCAGAAATTCCCAAAGGGCCTCTCTCTGGCAGAGAAATTTCTGTGTAACAGATTACCTGCACTGTTCATTTCAGTAGGTGCTGAAACCCAGGATCTCTTTCTTGCTAGACTGCCTATGAAACAAGAAGAGAAATCTGGCCAATTCAGGTGGAAAAAGATGAAAAGGGATACGGTAGACTGATTGCGAAAGCATCCCCCATTCTCCACCCCAACCTCTAGTCATGCTCTTTTTAATATAACTCCGCAGCCACCCGCACTCAGAGCCTCTTTCTCCAGCCCTTGAAGCTGGGTTGGGCTTGGGACTTGAGCTGCACTGAAGAATGTGGTGGAAATGCTATGTATCAGGTCTAAGCCAAAGCCTCAGGGCACCTAGTATGCGCCTAGTATGAAAGCATGCCACTCCCACACATCCTGGCTAGTCTACTGCTGCTCCAAGATCATGCAGCACAGAGCTGAGTCATCCTAGCCAAGAACACCTAGATCAGCCACCAGCCAGCAGATCTGTAAACACATGAGTGAACTCCAGCTAAGACCTGAAAAACTCTCAAATCAAGTCTGCCAAGATCTGTAGAAGTGCTCAACTAATCTGTAGACTTGTGAACAGAAAGAAATGTTTATTACAGGCTACTGAGTTATTGTGGTTGTTTAATACAGAGTATTATTAAGGTAACAGATAAGTGACACGGAAGATGATAACATACTCTTCAATTCATTAACAATGAATTGCTACTAAGCTAATTAATCAGAAGCTCTCTATAGGCTTGGGAGGTATGATATCAGCAGATATAGATAGAAAACACCACTTTTCATGATTCAGTTAGAATGAGAGATTGCAATAAAAAACTAAATGAAATTTCCTTCTACGGTCATTATATTTGGTAATTTTAAAATGCTTTCTAAATTATTGTGTACCCCAATATTTTTTGGTGGCAGTTGATGATGCTTTATAAGAAATTAAATTTAGGAGTAACAATGTCTGTCTTCAGTGAGATACAGCAGAGGCTATTTTTCTCATTTGGATACAGTTTGAAATTTGAAAAAATTTGAAAAAATTAAACGATTTCACTTTATGTTTGAAAACTGGAAATGCAGAGCATCTTCATAAATTTTATCTGAGGTTCATTTTGTAGGCAGAAAAGCCAAAATATTCTAGCTATCTTAATGATCATTTCTACTTGGTAGTCTTTCTTAGAATTGCATTTTACTCAAAAAAAAAGACAAAAACAAACCCTTTCCTCTTCTTAATTCTACATACTGAAAAACTAAGCTCTTCTTGGGAAAACACAATAAACAAACAAAACCAAAAATAACCCCATAGTTTCACTATATCTATCATTTTAAAACTAACTAGCTGAGTAATCCCAACTGGTGAGGTATAAACAAGAAGTGACTTTCTTTTCCCAATCACTGCCTTCACCAGTGTTTGTCAAATTTCCCTTTCTCATATAAACATATAAATCAGCTAAGTGACACATCATGTCAATGCCATCAGTTCTGGTTATTAAAACTCAGACATATTATTTAAGGCCATAATAAAAATATTGTTTTTCTTCTTTAAAAGAAATCCAATTTGGCCCTTCCTTTCATGCATCTGATGATCCTCATTTCTTTTAAGTTCGGTGATAAATATATGAAAAAGCACCATTTCCCTAAACCAATTCTTAATCCAAACTGCTCAAATTAAAATATCAGTAAACATCAAGTCATAATCCTTCTGCTGTTTTTTATCCACATAAAAAAGAATAACATAGATTCTCTTCCCAATATGGGTAGCTAATGTGGGTCAATACATGAAAACAATCAAAAGCTTTAACACTTCTAATTTAAGTACTATCCTTCTGGGCTATAACTATTGTAACCAGTAATAATAATCTAATGAATGCTAGCAGCATAAGAATATTTGTGAAACATATAATTAGAATTAATCCTTAACTATTTTGTTTACAAATCTATCAATGTGAATCTACAGTAATTAAATACAATAAAATCCTGAATTACAACAGAATGATGCCTTTATAAGTTGTTCTAAAGAAAATACCTCGGGAAGGAGCCAAGATGGCGGAGGAATAGGACAGGGAGACCACTTTCTCTCCTACAAATTCATCGAAAGACCATTTGAATGCTGAGCAAATTGCACAAAACAACTTCTGATCGCTAGCAGAGGACATCAGGCGCCCAGAAAAGCAGCCCATTGTCTTCGAAGGGAGGTAGGACAAAATATAAAAGATAAAAAGGGAGTCAAAAGAGCTACGGACGGAGACCCGTCCCGGGAAGGGAGTCTTAATAGAGGAAGTTTCCAATCACCAGGAAACCCTCGCACTGGCGGGACTGGGGGAAGTTTTCGGCAATCTAACTGGGAGGAAAAATTAAACAAGGCCCACAGATTACGTGCCTAAAAGCAACTCCCAGCAGAAAAGTACCCCAGACGCCCGTACCCGCCAGCAACAAGCGGGGGCGGGACGGAGAGGAGCGGGCGGCATTGCTTAGGGCCCGAACACACTGCCGGCGGTTCGCAAAACAAAGGGACTGAGAAAGTCCAGAGAAGAGCCGGCCCATCCCCGCTGGAGGTTGGAGGCAGGGGGTAGGGGAAAAGGGCAAACTCAGCCCCTGAGAAGCCACCCCCTCCCACACTGCAAACAGGCCGCCGGTTCCTATCTAAAGACTTCCTGAGACCCGACTGGCGGCGCGCGCTGGGGCCGCGGAGGGAAAAAGCGTGCCGTACCCGGGGAGAGTGCGCCCAAGCCTCTGGCTGCCTGAGCTGCCCGCCGCGGAGGGAAAAGGCGCGCCGCATCCGGGGAGAGTGCGCCCAAGCCTCTGGCTGCCTGGGCCGCTCGCCGCGGAGGGTAAAGGCGCGCCACCTCCGGGGAGAGTGCGCCCAAGCCTCTGGCTGCCTGGGCCGCTCAACGCGGAGGGAAAAGGCGTGCCGCACCCAGGGAGAGTACGCCCAAGCCTCTGGCTGCCTGAACCGCTCAGGCCGGGGAAGGCGCAAAACGCAGGCGCAACCGAATCTGCGCTTTTGTGGAGTACCCGAAATCTGGAACCGCACTCAACGCAGGGCCCGCTCCATATAGAGCAGCCGGGAGCCTGAGCAGTGTAGATGGCAAAAGCACTGACACCCGTGAGCGGGGCAAACCCAGTGTGGCCGGAACACGGTGAGTGCTATCCACACAGAGCGGTGTCTGTCTGCAGCGCCCCGCCCTCCCCGTAGCAGGACTGAACTGAACTAGAGAACCTAAATAAGAGATCACCTCCGCCCGCCTGTGTCAGGGCGGAAATTAGACACCGAAGAGACGGCAAACAGAAGCCAAATAAACAAAGGGAACAGCTTCAGAAAGGACTGGTGCAACAGACTAAAATCCCTGAAGGTAACACCGACTACACCAGAAGGGGCCTATAGATATCGAGAAGTGTAAGCTGGAAAGAGGACCTATCTGAAATTGAACTGAACCTACGCTGACTGCAACAACTCCAGAGAAATTCCTAGATATATATATATATATTTTTTTAATTTAAAAAAAATTTTTTTTCTATCTTTTTTTTTAATTTTTTTTAATTTTTTCTCTTTTATTTTCTTTTAAAATCCCCTATTACTCCCCCATTACTCCTCAACTTTCATTTTCATATATTTTTACGATTTTTTTAATTAGGGAAAAAACAATTTTTTTTCTTTTTTTTTCTTTTTCTTGTTTTTCTCTCCTATTTTAAAGTCCTCTAATACTCCTCTATTATTCCTTAATTTTCATTTTCATTTCACTATAACCTTGCCAAAAAAAAAAAAAGAGAGAGAAACCCTATTTTTAAATCAAACTTCATATACATTTCTAAATTTTTTTTTGTTTTTGTTTTTAAATATTGTATTTCAAAGAGTCTAACCTCTACACTAGATTTTTAATCTTTGTTTTTCAGTAGTAGGTGATATAAATTTTGGTCATTTAAGAATCCAATATTCAGTTCCCATTTCTATTCAGGAGTGTGGTGATTACTCTCCCACTTTTGACTCTCTGTTTTCTACCTCGGAACACCTCTATTTCCTCCTTTCCCCTTCTCTTCCCAATCCAACTCTGTGAATCTTAGTGGGTGTCTGGGCTACGGAGAACACTTTGGGAACAGATAACTGCATAGATCTGTCTCTCTCCTCTTGAGTCCCCTTTTTCTCCTCCTGATCACCTCTATCTCCTTCCTCCCTCTCCTATTCTTCATGTAACTCTGTGA